TGGTAACTTCAGAATTAATACAGCAATTTTGGCATTTAAGAAGTGAATTCGTTGAGATTAAAAAACCATAATCCAAGTTCGACGGTCTAAGTTTCTGGATTTCCACAATTAAAATTTCTAAACTTAAATATCGAATTTATTACTATTTATTTGATGGTTAAAAGCTGAAAATTCAAGTTTAAGAATTTAAAGTTCGAAATTCAAAAAACTGAAATCACGGTGACGATTCACTTCGACAATATATTTTTTAAAAGTTGATGCGTCCAGACTAATAATTAAATTTTTAAAATTAAAAGGACGGAAAATCTTCAAAGTTCTAAATTTGAAATTCCTATGCATCAAATGAGAATTTTTGCAGTATTTTGATAAATTTAATCAGTTACGTAGCCTTGAAATTTTTGTAAACTTCATATAGAATCGTGTTAGATAGACATTTTGAAATTTGAAAGTCAGTGCTTTATGAGTTATCGAAGATTTGAAATTTAGAATTCAGAAATTAGAAATTTTAGGACTCTGAAATTCAAGACCCAGCGCTGAGGATTTAATTTTTTGTAATTACTTTACCTCTAGATGAATATTTATCTAAATTACTTCGATTTCAACATCTGAAAGTGGTAACTTCAGAATTAATACTGAAATGTTGGCATTTAAGAAGTGAATTCGTTGAAATTAAAAAAACCGAATCCAAGTTCGACGGTCTAAGTTTCTGGATTTCCACAATTTAAATTTCTAAACTTAAATATCGAATTTATTATTATTTATATGATGGTTAAATGCTGAAAATTCAAGTTTAAGAATTTAAAGTTCGAAATTCAACAAACTGAAATCAAGTTGAAGATTCACTTCCACAATATATTTTTTAAAAGTTGATGCGTATAGACTAATAATCAAATTTTTAAAATTAAAAGGACGGAAAATCTTCAAAGTTCTAAATTTGACATTCCTATGTATCAAATGAGAATTTTTGCAGTATTTTGATAAATTTAATATGTTACGTAGTAATGAAATTGTTGTAAACTTCATATAGAATCGTGGAAGAAAGAAATTTTGAAATTTGAAAGTCGGTGCTTCATGACTTATCGAAGATTTGAAATTTAGAATTCTGAAATTAGAAATTTTAGGACTCTGAATTTCAATACCCAGCGCTGAGAATTTAATTTTTTGTAATTACTTTATCTCTAGATGAATATTTACCTAAATTATCTCGATTTCAAGACCAGAAAGTGGCAACTTCAAAACTAATACTTTAATTTTGGCATTTAAAAAGTGAATTCGTTGAGATTAATAAACCAGAATCCAAGTTCGACGGTCTAAGTTTCTGGATTTCCACAATTTAAATTTCTAAACTTAAATATCGAATTTATTACTATTTATTTGATGGTTAAAAGCTGAAAATTCAAGTTTAAGAATTTAAAGTTCGAAATTCAAAAAACTGAAATCACGTTGAAGATTCACTTCGACAATATATTTTTTAAAAGTTGATGCGTCCAGACTAATAATTAAATTTTTAAAATTAAAAGGACGGAAAATCTTCGAAGTTCTAAATTTGAAATTCCTATGTATCAAATGAGAATTTTTGCAGTATTTTGATAAATTTAATAAGTTACGTAGCAATGAAATGTTTGTAAACTTGATATAGAATCGTGGAAGACAGAAATTTTGAAATTTGAAAGTCGGTGCTTTATGACTTATCGAAGATTTGAAATTTAGAATTCAGTAATTAGAAATTTTAGGACTCTGAATTTCAAGACCCAGAGCTGAGGATTTAATTATTTGTAATTACTTTATCTCTAGATGAATATTTACCTAAATTATCTCGATTTCAAGACCTGAAAGTGGCAACTTCAGAATTAATACAGAAATTTTGGCATTTAAGGAGTGAATTCGTTGAGATTAAAAAACCAGAATCCAAGTTCGACGGTCTAAGATTCTGGATTTTCACAATTTAAATTTCTAAACTTAAATATCGAATTTATTACTATTTATTTGATGGTTAAAAGCTGAAAATTCAAGTTTAAGAATTTAAAGTTCGAAATTCAAAAAACTGAAATCACGTTGAAGATTCACTTCGACAATATATTTTTTAAAAGTTGATGCGTCCAGACTAATAATTAAATTTTTAAAATTAAAAGGACGGAAAATCTTCGAAGTTCTAAATTTGAAATTCCTATGTATCAAATGAGAATTTTTGCAGTATTTTGATAAATTTAATAAGTTACGTAGCAATGAAATGTTTGTAAACTTGATATAGAATCGTGGAAGACAGAAATTTTGAAATTTGAAAGTCGGTGCTTTATGACTTATCGAAGATTTGAAATTTAGAATTCAGTAATTAGAAATTTTAGGACTCTGAATTTCAAGACCCAGAGCTGAGGATTTAATTATTTGTAATTACTTTATCTCTAGATGAATATTTACCTAAATTATCTCGATTTCAAGACCTGAAAGTGGCAACTTCAGAATTAATACTGAAATTTTGGCATTTAAGAAGTGAATTCGTTGAGATTAAAAAACCAGAATCCAAGTTCGACGGTCTAAGTTTCTGGATTTCCACAATTTAAATGTCTAAACTTAAATATCGAATTTATTACTATTTCTTTGATGGTTAAAAGCTGAAAATTCAAGTTTAAGAATTTAAAGTTCGAAATTCAAAAAACTGAAATCAGGTTGAAGATTCACTTCGACAATATATTTTTTAAAAGTTGATGCGTCCAGACTAATAATCAAATTTTTAAAATTAAAAGGACGGAAAATCTTCAAAGTTCTAAATTTGAAATTTCTATGTATCAAGTGAGAATTTTTGCAGTATTTTGATAAATTTAATAAGTTATGTAGCAATAAAATTTTTGTAAACTTGATATAGAATCGTGGAAGACAGAAATTTTGAAATTTGAAAGTCGGTGCTTTATGACTTATCGAAGATTTGAAATTTAGAATTCAGAAATTAGAAATTTTAGGACTCTGAATTTCAAGACCCAGCGCTGTGGATTAAATTTTTTGTAATTACTTTATCTCTAGAGGAATATTTACCTAAATTATCTCGATTTCAAGACCTGAAAGTGGTAACTTCAGAATTAATACAGAAATTTTGGTATTTAAGAAGTAAATTCGTTAAGATTAAATAACCAGAATCCAACTTTGACAGTTTCAGTTTTTGGATTTCCACAATTTAAATTTCTAAACTTAAATATCGAACCTATTACTAATAATTCTTTTTAAGAAGTAAATTCCTTTTATTTTCTGTATTTACAAATTTTGAAATCAAAAATTTGGTGTTTTAGAGTTATGGAAAAATTTCTAGTGTTTAAATTTCTGTTCCTGCAATCACGATCATTGCTTTTAATATTAAGTACTTGTCAATAAATTTCTCAACTAAACTACTGGCTGTCGATTTATTGTAATGCAACAATACCCAATTTCAAAATCTCTCTAGCCTCAATTTACTTTCCCAACCTTCCCATGCACTCGCACCTTCGACTCGCCACACCCGCCTCTCCCCATCCAATCACCCACAAATCTAGTTAAATCGCGAAAACACAACACAATCGACGTCTTCCGAAGGCCACCGCGTTTTCCTCACAACAAATCCCCCAAGCATGAAGAAGCCCATTTCCATGTTTGCTTTACCTTTAATAGAATATTTATGGATAAATTCCGAGTGTAAAAATCGATTCGCGCTGGATATTTTTCGACAAAGTCTAACGAGAACCGCTCGAAAAAAATTAATTGGATATGGAACACGCCCTCCAGTGGCGCCGGAAAAAATTTCCCACCAGATTCGATCGCCTCTGTTCCGGGTACAGACAATGACGAGAAAATCAAAAGCCCATTCTTCGCAGTTCCTGGAAACGCGCTGATTGCTTTTAATATTCCTCGCCAATAAATCTTAATGGCTCGTAATTTCCCCGCGTTGGCAAACATTGTGGATTTAACTTAATTCAATTTCCTTTTAGAGCCGCACCGATCAATTATCGTAATCACCCATAATTGAATGACAGCACGCGTTTTTTACGATTTTTTGCCCGGAATTTAAATCAGTTGGCAGAAACAAAACGCATGAACACTGACAAAAAAAAAATGAAAATAACAATAGTAGTAGGAATAATGATGATAAAAAACCCGGGCAACCGCAAGGATGAAAGCGAAAATTGCCCTGACCTTAGCTGAATCACCGGTAGGCGATCCTCTCCGATAAGGCATTTTCTAATTGCTTTGTTTATCGCGCTTTTTTTGTCCTCTTACTTAATTAAATATGAGTAATCGAATTAAGTAAATTGCCGCGAACCGTTAAACTAAGCTCTGGTTTGAAATTATTTACATGGAATAATCTGCATTCAATCAATCTGGATTGGTTGCATGCTGCATGTATTAATTGGGTAATTAAGCCGGGAATTTTAATCAAAATTATTTATGGGATCATTAAAACGCATCTCACTCGTTCGGCGAGCTGTGGGAAGAGGATTTTTGCGCAGGATGGGTTTGTACAGGTGGCCGAGAAACCGCGGACGGATTTGGGAAAGGTTCGCTTGACCTTTGGGACAGGTGCGAATGAACAAAGTCGAGTCGAGATAATAAAATTTGGCATTTGTAAGTGACAATCATGTTAATTAGATATTAATTATGTAATGATGCAGAAATACGCGTGTAAATGTCAGGAGCCGTGGTGCGGATATTCCGGAAATGGGCGAATTATGCAAAATGGGTGGGTTTTTTTGGTTTCAGGTGGAAAGTGGACAAAAAACGTGTTGTGTACAGTTGGAGAATGTTTACAATAAAATTTTACAATGTCATTATGAGGGGTTGTCTCAGCTGTGCAGCCATTGAGTGTCCCATCGATTTGGCATGCGTCGCTGTTGTTCAACCAGAAGAAGCGTAGCTAATAATAACCGCTTGGGTTATCAACGTTGTGAAGTCAATTTGCTTAAACCATCATAAAATTTTATTGTATACAACAGGAACGTCATCACTTAGTTCTAGAAACGGTTGAAAAAGGTTTTTACCTGTATCCTAGCCTCGGTTAATCCTATCTTCATCGCCAGCTCCTCTCTGCAACAAAAATTAGGTACACTCACAAAGGTATCAATGCTGTAGTTGAGGTTTTCATTTTTTAAAGATTTTTGAAAATTTTGTTGAATTTAAAATTACTGAATATTCGAATAATTGAAAATTCTTGTTGCTGTATGTTAACAATTTCAGTTTTCGATTATTCAGTAGTTTAGAGAGAGTTAGACCCTAGAATTATTCAATAATTTTCCTTAAAATCATCAATAGGAAGTCGCAGAACATTTTTTGACATAACACATGTTGCAAATTCGAGAAGTCTTCTTTATTTTTGTCAAAAAAGTTTAATTTCTTGTAAACATTTGACAATTCTAAAATTTCAGTTCGAAAGTCTTTAAAATGAATAGTGTTGAACACATTTTTTTGTAGAATTTAAAATTTCAGGCTGTTTAAATTTTGAAAATTTTGGCCACTTTTGTTAATATTTTTTAAAGTTAAAATTTTTGATCAGTAAGTGATTTAGAGGAGATCAAAAGCCAAACTCTCGAATCATTCGATACTTTCCTAAAAAATCATCAATAGAAATTCAGAGAACATTTTTCGCTGTAACACATGTTTTTAGTCCTAGGAGTTTTCGTTATTTTGGTTTAAAGAGTTTCATTTTTTAGAGATTTATGAAAATGATGAAATTCCAGTTTGAAAATTTTGTCGAATTTAAAATTTCCGGATGTTCAAATATTTGAAAATTTTTGCTGTTGTATGTTAAGAATTTCAGTTTTCGATCAGTCAGTAGTTTAGAGAGGGCTAGACCCTAGACTTATTCAATAATTTTCCATAAAATCATCAATTGGAAGTCGCAGAACAATTTTTGACGTAACACATGTTGCAAATTTGAGAAGTTTTCGTTATTTTTGTCAAAAAAGTTTAATTTCTTGTAAACATTTGACAATTCTAAAATTTCAGTTCGAAAGTCTTTAAAATGAATAGTGCTGAACACATTTTTTTGTAGAATTAAAAATTTCAGGCTGTTTAAATTTTGAAAATTTTGGCCACTTTTGTTAATATTTTTTAAAGTTAAAATTTTTGATCAGTAAGTGATTTAGAGGAGATCAAGAGCCAAACTCTCCAATCATTCGATACTTTCCCAAAAAATCATCAATAGAAATTCGGAGAACATTTTTCGCTGAAACACATGTTTTTAATTCTAGGAGTTTTCGTTATTTTGGTTTAAAGAGTTTCATTTTTTAGAGATTTTTGAAAATCATGAAATTTCGGTTTGAAAATTTTGTTGAATGTAAAATTACTGGATGTTCGAATAATTGAAAATTTTTGTTGTTGTATGATAAAAGTTTCAGTTTTCGAACAGTCAGTAGTTTACAGAGGGCTAGACCCTAGAATTATTCAATAATTTTCCATAAAATCATCAATTGGAAGTCGCAGAACAATTTTTGACGTAACACATGTTGCAAATTTGAGAAGTTTTCGTTATTTTTGTCAAAATTGTTTAATTTCTTGTAAACATTTGACAATTCTAAAATTTCAGTTCGAAAGTCTTTGAAATGAATAGTGCTGAACACATTTTTTGTAGAATTTAAAATTTCAGGCTGTTTAAGTTTTGAAAATTTTGGCCACTTTTATTAATATTTTTTAAAATCAAAATTTTTGATCAGTAGGTGATTTAAAGGAGATCAAGAGCCAAACTCTCGAGTCATTCGATACTTTCCTAAAAAATCATCAATAGAAATTCGGAGAACATTTTTCGCTGTAACACATGTTTTTAATTCTAGGAGTTTTCGTAATTTTTGTTTAAAGAGTTTCATTTTTTAAAGATTTTTGAAAATTATGAAATTCCAGTTTGAAAATTTTGTCGAATTTAAAATTTCCGGATGTTCAAATATTTGAAAATTTTTGCTGTTGTATGTTAAGAATTTCAGTTTTCGATCAGTCAGTAGTTTAGAGAGGGCTAGACCCTAGACTTATTCAATAATTTTCCATAAAATCATCAATTGGAAGTCGCAGAACAATTTTTGACGTAACACATGTTGCAAATTTGAGAAGTTTTCGTTATTTTTGTCAAAAAAGTTTAATTTCTTGTAAACATTTGACAATTCTAAAATTTCAGTTCGAAAGTCTTTAAAATGAATAGTGCTGAACACATTTTTTTGTAGAATTAAAAATTTCAGGCTGTTTAAATTTTGAAAATTTTGGCCACTTTTGTTAATATTTTTTAAAGTTAAAATTTTGGATCAGTAAGTGATTTAGAGGAGATCAAGAGCCACACTCTCGAATCATTCGATACTTTCCTAAAAAATCATCAATAGAAATTCGGAGAACATTTTTCTCTGTAACACATGTTTTTAATTCTAGGAGTTTTCGTTATTTTGGTTTAAAGAGTTTAATTTTTTAAAGATTTTTGAAAATTATGAAATTTCAGTTTGAAAATTTTGAATTTTGTTGAATTTAAAATTTCTGGATGTTCGAATAATTGAAAATTTTTGTTGTTGTATGTTAAAAGTTTCTGTTTTCGATCAGTCAGTAGTTTAGAGAGAGCTAGACCCTAGAATTATTCAATAATGTTCCATAAAATAATCAATAGGAAGTCGCAGAACATTTTTTCACGTAACACATGTAGCAAATTTGAGAAGTTTTCGTTATTTTTGTCAAAAAAGTTTAATTTCTTGTAAACATTTGACAATTCTAAAATTTCAGTTCGAAAGTCTTTAAAATGAATAGTGCTGAACACATTTTTTTGTAGAATTAAAAATTTAGGGCTGTTTAAATTTTGAAAATTTTGGCCACTTTTGTTAATATTTTTTAAAGTTAAAATTTTTGATCAGTGAAAGATTTAGAGGAGATCAAGAGCCAAACTCTCGAATCATCTGATACTTTCCTAAAAAATCATCAATAGAAATTCGGAGAACATTTTTCGCTGTAACACATGTGTTTAATTCTAGGAGTTTTCGTAATTTTGGTTTAAAGAGTTTCATTTTTTAAAGATTTTTGAAAATTATGAAATTTCAGTTTGAAAATTTTGAATTTTGTTGAATTTAAAATTTCTGGATGTTCGAATAATTGAAAATTTTTGTTGTTGTATGTTAAGAATTTCAGTTTTCGATTAGTCAGTAGTTTAGAGAGGGCTAGACCCTAGCCTTATTCAATAATTTTCCATAAAATTATCAATTGGAAGTCGCAGAACATTTTTTGACATAACACATGTTGCAAATTTGAGAAGTTTTCGTTATTTTTGTCAAAAAAGTTTAATTTCTTGTAAATAATTGACAATTCTAAAATTTCAGTTCGAAAGTCTTTAAAATGAATAGTGTTGAACACATTTTTTTGTGGAATTTAAAATTTCAGGCTGTTTAAATTTTGAAAATTTTGGCCACTTTTGTTAAAATTTTTAAAGTTAAAATTTTTGATCAGTAAGTGATTTAGAGGAGATCAAGAGCCAAACTCTCGAATCATTCGATACTTTCCTAAAAAATCATCAATAGAAATTCGGAGAACATTTTTCGCTGTAACACATGTTTTTAATTCCAGGAGTTTTCGTTATTTTGGTTTAAAGAGTTTCATTTTTTAAAGATTTTTGAAAATTATGAAATTTCAGTTTGAAAATTTTGTTGAATTTAAAATTACTGGATGTTCGAATAATTGAAAATTTTTGTTGTTGTATGTGAAGAATTTCAGTTTTCGATTAGTCAGTAGTTTAGAGAGGGCTAGACTCTAGAATTATTCAATACTTTTCCATAAAATCATTAATTGGAAGTCGCAGAACAATTTTTGACGTAACACATGTTGCAAATTTGAGAAGTTTTCGTTATTTTTGTCAAAAAAGTTTAATTTCTTGTAAACATTTGACAATTCTAAAATTTCAGTTCGAAAGTCTTTAAAATGAATAGTGCTGAACACATTTTTTTGTGGAATTAAAATTTCAGCCTGTTTAAATTTTGAAAATTTTGGCCACTTTTGTTAATATTTTTTAAAGTTAAAATTTTTGATCAGTAAGTGATTTAGAGGAGATCAAGAGCCAAACTCTCGAATCATTCGATACTTTCCTAAAAAATCATCAATAGAAATTCGGAGAACATTTTTCGCTGTAACACATGTTTTTAATTCTAGGAGTTTTCGTTATTTTGGTTTAAAGAGTTTCATTTTTTAAAAATTTTTGAAAATTATGAAATTTCAGTTTGAAAATTTTGTCGACTTTAAAATTTCTGGATCTTCAAATATTTGAAAATTTTTGTTGTTGTATGTGAAGAATTTCAGTTTTCGATTAGTCAGTAGTTTAGAGAGGGCTAGACTCTAGAATTATTCAATACTTTTCCATAAAATCATTAATTGGAAGTCGCAGAACAATTTTTGACGTAACACATGTTGCAAATTTGAGAAGTTTTCGTTATTTTTGTCAAAAAAGTTTAATTTCTTGTAAACATTTGACAATTCTAAAATTTCAGTTCGAAAGTCTTTAAAATGAATAGTGTTGAACACATTTTTTTGTAGAATTAAAAATTTCAGGCTGTTTAAATTTTGAAAATTTTGGCCACTTTTGTTAATATTTTTTAAAGTTAAAATTTTTTATCAGTAAGTGATTTAGAGGAGATCAAGAGCCAAACTCTCCAATCATTCGATACTTTCCTAAAAAATCATCAATAGAAATTCGGAGAACATTTTTCGCTGTAACACATGTTTTTAATTCTATTAGTTTTCGTTATTTTGGTTGAAAGAGTTTCATTTTTTAAAGATTTTTGAAAATTATGAAATTCCAGTTTGAAAATTTTGTCGAATTTAAAATTTTCGGATGTTCAAATATTTGAAAATTTTTGCTGTTGTATGTTAAGAATTTCAGTTTTCGATCAGTCAGTAGTTTAGAGAGGGCTAGACCCTAGACTTATTCAATAATTTTCCATAAAATCATCAATTGGAAGTCTCAGAACATTTTTTGACATAACACATATTGCAAATTTGAGAAGTTTTCGTTATTTTTGTCAAAAAAGTTTAATTTCTTGTAAACATTTGACAATTCTAAAATTTCAGTTCGAAAGTCT